ACAGAGGGCCAGCCTCGGTTGAGGCCAAACTAATTAATGGAATGAGTGAGCAAAGTTTACTGCGTATTAATCGAATTATGCTGGCCGATGATGACGCTGGCACTTTACAAGGTGTAACGTTGTAGGGCGTTCTGTTATTTTTTTTGACCGGATGTGTAAACCCACCTCACACGTTTCAAAATGCTAATGAATGGTAATTTGAAGAAAAAAACGTTATGAAGATTACCACTCCGTGTAGCCTCGTAGACTGTTAGGGGCGAGCAATATTAGCGAGGGCCTATTCATTCAGCTCACATGGAGCATGAGGAATAAGGGGCCGTCCATAAATGACGTCATGCGATTTTTGACGATTTTTGACCCCCCCCCCCGCCCCCTCGTCACACGGCGTCACAAAAAGTCAGACCCCCCCTCAAATATGACGTCACAAAGCTCTGTCCCCCCCCCAAACCATATTTCCATTTTGAAAACCATGCTCCAAATCGCTTTAAACTATTGCCATTGTAGTGCGTGTTTAATGTGGCGCTGCACTCTGATGTTGCAGGAGAAAACGTTTATTAAAAAGTCTACTCGATTAAGTAGAACGTGTTGTCTATATTTATTTAAAGTTGCGCATTTTGATGTGACGTCACATTTCTCAAACCCCCCCCCCCACCCCGCCTCGTCACACATCGTCACAAATATCTGACCCCCCCAGGTGCGTGACGTCATTTATGGACGGCCCCTAAGCTTGACTACCAGCACTGTGCCCGGCCACCAGAAGTGATCGCTCGTCTCGTTTGTTGTGTTTCCTTTGTATCGTTGATCTCGCAGACTGCTGCCGCGTGTTCTGTCAATTCCCTACTGCTTGTGTATGCATTGTGTGCAGTATGCTGAAGGTAACATTTGCAAATAATCTTCCTATCGTCACCAGCCAGGGTCAATCAACTGCCGAATTAATTATATAATTTTCACGTGACATAACTTTCAAAAAAGCTACATTTCGATGCACTAATTTTATCGTGTTATGTTGAGCAAAACATTACTTTTTGGTGATTATTCTGAATTGGTCACGTGCGCCTTTCCGTATCGGTGTCAGCTGATTCATTTTGAGCTGAATCTACCGAAGGGGATGTTTCTTTGACGGTGATAATGGTCAGCACTCTGGTTTGAGCTGGTGAGGTCTATGGTTATATCTACCCGTTCCGATATCAGGAAGCTGCTGGAGCTATGCACTTTTAAATCTAGATTGAAAACCCATTTGTTTAGAACAGCTTTGTGTGTTTAGTTTGTTGTCCTTCCCCCGCACCTCCGATTAGCCACGGTTGGCTACGCACGGCGCGAAAGAAGTTCAACATACATCCAAAACAATACAAATATCCCCCATATATCCTTAACAGACTGTTAGGGCAAGTGCTGTTAGCGAGCACCTATGAAGGCCGGCACGGCACAGGAAGGGGTGGGTGGGCAGCACCACTACCGTCCGCCTTTGTCTCTCCAGTGACGATGTTTACACTTCGCACTAGGTACTCATCTGAGGCTGAGTCGACCTAGGGAAGGCCCAGGAACCGGTCCATACAGTACATATATCAACATACATACGTACATGTACAAGTGTGAAGACCTCCGTTGACCCTAATGCAGATGTGGCAGATTAAGACGCGCGGGGAAAACTGCAGTAAATAAAATAAGCCTTCAATTACTTCAATGGAACACACCTGGCGTGGGAAACATGAAAACCGAGAGACTAACCACACGTGCGCCGCCTTCATCTTCACGTGTAAGCAAAGGGCTAGACGCATGCACACGTCCACACACACCTTGATAAAAAGCGTGATGGCAGACGTGGCAAATCCCGACCGTTCTGTTTGGCGCACGCAGTCACTCCTGTTCGTTCCTTTCGGGGGCGACATTTAGATCCTTGGCGAATGAACGATGGGCAGACAGCGCGTACGAAGAGTTCAACACGAGGTAGCGTGCTTGAAATTACACTGAATCGCGAGGAGTACAAAACAAATATCCATTCCATGGCGTCATTCAAACCGCGAATCCCTCTTGTTTTACGGCATCAAAACTACACCACCACTTCCAAATAACCCAATTCTTAATTTCACGTTGTTATCATGCTATGTACAATGTTACAATTTCTGCAAAGCGCCTTGGTAAAGGCGCTTATGTACATCATCATTACGACGAGATGAGAATAAAAGTGAGCGGGCCTTGTGAAGGACTCATAGCTGTAAGTCCGACGGTTTGAAGAGTGGCAGCCTGGGAACAGAAAATGCGTCCGGAGTGAACGGAACCCCACTGAGCGGATGGAGCGACTGAACCCAATGGTTTTGTTCTTGCTGCGGTGGCTTAATATGTCACAAGATTGCGACAGGCGGTGGCAGCTCGGGGAAGGGTCCACATCCAGCAGTGGATTTACCAAGGCTAGTTATGCCGATTAGACAGTACAAAAGAAAACTCCATCACATTTGACGCACTGCGCTGTGAATTTGGAGGTCTACGTTAGAATCCCGGCTACAGGCGACATCACCTCGGGGGAGTTGTATCTGCACCAGTCCTAGGCCCCTCGCCCTTCATGAAGACCCGTGAGGTGCAGTAGGGTCAAACAGCCCTCAAGACTGACATGGGCAAGAGGCCATTCAGCGACAGCAGCGTGACAAAATGCGGTATTCATTATGAATGTATAAATAAACACATACATATATATGAATGCACATACTGGATGTATTTATTTAAACATTAAAATATGCATGCAGCAGTACTTACATGACCAAGGACACATGCCCTGCAGGCGCACGATTTAGGAATTGTTTTAACTTTTCCAACTGTCAGGAATACAACTTGTTTTTGTATTGCATGCGTTAATTATAATCAAACGGCTTATCAATTCATACTCTTGGTTCTTTCGGAAAAGTCCCTACCCACCCCCTCTCTCCCCTCTATCTCCACCCTCTTCCTCTCCCCATTGTCTAACACACTTGGACTACGCCCTGGCCTTCAGCTCCCCCCCCCCCTCTCTCTCCCCCTGTCTCTGCCCCCTCCCTCCCCCCATTGTCACCGACATTTGGGCTGGCTGGCCCGTCCATGCACTTTGAAAGCCTTGAAAAGCAGTTGCATTTGGAGGCATGCCCCCTCTTTTATCTCCGCTTGTGTTGTGACCCAAACGACATGGTTTTTTGTTTTAATTATTTTCTGTTTTTTTTACTTTTATTATCTTTCATTTTATTTTCTATCTACGTGACTTTACCGAAAGAACCAAGACTATAGGCATATTGATATTTTAAGTAATTAAAAGTCTGTGAAACAGTAAGATAAATATAATTGATGTTAATTTGTGAGCCAATTAAATGTTTTATAGAAATTTGCGGAAGGCGCTCATTCCTCACATGTTTACTAGGTGAGCTTTGAGGAAATTATTCAAATTGGTTTTAATTTCCAACAATTGAGTGCCATAATCATCAATGATTCGATCGCACCACCTGAGAAATTTTCATATATTTAAGAGGGTAGTTCACACTCCAGACACGAGTCAATTTTCAAACTCAAATTGTCTCCCTCCTGCAGTCAGTCAGTGAGACGCTCATCTCTACCGACAACCACAAACCAATGGTGGAAATTCCACATTCCTATGGCCGAATTCCGCCTGTAATTCCACATTCTCCTCGACATATGCCAACATTTAATTTGTCTATTTGCTGAAGCTGCTTCACCGTATCATATAATTTGTACTTAATCATGAGTATTGTACTGATCGTGCACTCACCAAACTATTTTCCAACCCACTGGCACCATGACCACCGATATTGTCGAGAAGAACCACACTGATGGGCCGTGTGATTTGGGTTCAGCTGTTTTGGCCCCTGCCCAATGCCCTATGACTGGAGTTCATCGGCATTCACAGCGGTGCAGAGGCGGTGGACCTCACCCAAATGTCTTCTCCACATTGCCCAATTGTTACAATTCAGACCTGGACACAGCTGTAAATGAAATAAAATATTACCTCAGCCTCTCATTTCTGCTGTAGCAGACCCGGTCATGCCACATTATTTATTTCCAATAAAGTTTTCAAAGCAATTCATATCTCAGACAACACCCACCCCATACCCCCTGTCATATTACAGCTTATCACTGCAGGGCCTACGACGCGGCATATGGCTGATGTTTGCACACTGTGAAAATCCCACGTTTCCCCGCACACTGTGTTTGGGCTGAGTCAATCCTCCAAAGAGGATTTGAGTATACGTGACCACCTCCCTAGTAAAAATGTATAAGTTCCTACAGCCGCCTTTTACTGAAACCAAATATTTTACGTGTGGAAAAAAGAAAGAGCTTCCAAATGCCGTTACTTGCATCTCGTTATGGTTCTGTGCGTCAACTTGCACACACGCGGTCAGTCACTTCAGTGTCACAACAGTATTTCAACTCTCATGGTCACCATTCTCATGAGCTTCACTACGATCACTCCACCAATGTTATGGACTCAGTCTACCAGACCGACTGTTTTTCGTCTCATCCCATGCTGTGTCCAACCTCCACACTGCAGGTCGCAGCATTCTTCCCCCTGATTGTTCTTCTTCTTCTTCTCCAATAGTCTCTTTTTCCCAAGTTGCTTCATAATAATAATGACTTCACTTCATTAGAACTGCCTTTTTGTGTTACGTTTGTCGTCCTTCCCCTGCACCTCCGATTGGCACGGCTGGCTACGTACGGTGCGACAGACGTTCAACAAACATTCATAGATTGCCCGATTCATTAAACACATTCATTCATCTATTAAACCTTCACTGGTGTTGTTTGTTACTGGCCACTTGGCATTTTGGGCCAATGGTGCCTGTGCTCCGTAACCGTGATGATAAGAGAGAGGAGAGAGAGGAGAGAAAGAGAAAAAAAAATACCCCAACCAACCCCAAATAAATCCAACGACGACGAGAAACAACCGGGCAAATGAATCACGGCGGATGGGAAAACGACCGACCGAGAGATTCCTCGATGAATGGGAACGGCACTCCGCTCACCGGTCTCGGGGTCACAGAGGTGCTCGCAGGGGCTGAGGGTCCGCTCGGCGCAGGGGTCGCGCACCCACGGGATCGACTCGTTGGCGCCCTGTCGGTACAGCACCACCTTGGCTGGGTTGAGCCAGTCCGACACGTCCAGGTGGGCGCCCTCGGACAGCACGAACACGCTGCCTGCGTCACCGCAGATGGAGGAAGGCGGGCGAGCGGTCGGTGTTTCGTTTCTGACATTCGCAGCCGTTGCTGTTATTCGTTCGTTCGCTTCTCGATCCGATCGTCCTGGTGAGGGTCGTGGTGGCAGCATGTTTGAGTAGGGCGCTCCTTTCCCTGGTGACAGACTCCAGCACTACACTACTATACACTACTACACTATACACTACTACACAATACACTACTATACACTGCACTATACACTACACTATACACTACTATACACTACACTATACACTACTATACACTACACTTTACACTACTATACACTACACTACTACACTATACACTACTACACTATACACTACTATACACTGCACTACACACTACACTATACACTACTATACACTACACTATACACTACTATACACTACTATACACTACTACACTATACACTACTATACACTACACTATACACTACACTATACACTACTATACGCTAGTATACACTACACAATACACTACACTATAAACTACTATATACTACCCTGTACACTACTATACACAGACTCTAGCTCTTCCTGGGGAATTTCCAGGTGTTCCCAGGCCAGCCGAGTGACATTGTTCCGCCAGTGTGTCCTGGGTCCATCACAAACTCTTTTTTTCTATTGAGCAGGTAAAGCCCCACCGAGCTACATAACTCTTTTTCAGAAGCGACCTGGCCACAAGTGATTGCTCAACGAAGTGGCTTGTCACGTGGTAATGTATAGCAGCCACGTACTCTAAACGTATGTTTCTAAATGTGGAGGGAAAAACCGGAGGACCTGGAGAAAAATCTACGTGACCACGGGTAGAACAAGCAAACTCCGAATATACAGCAGGCGTCAAGATCGGGATCGAAACCACGACCTTCCGTATACAAGGCGAGGTAGTTAACATCTCCTATCCACCGTGATGATAATGATGAAAGAGAGAGACACGCAAACTCCAAATATACAGCAGGCGTCAGGGTCAGGATCGAACCCACGACCTCCTGTATACCAGGCGAGGTAGTTAACATCTCCTAGCCACCGTGGCGCCCGTAGCCAGCCGTGCTAATCTCGCCACTGTGGTGCCCCGCATCGCAACTCTCTGAAAATGCCGCTCATGCTAACCGCGGTGAGCGTAGTTGGCGACTAAGGGTACGTACTGTACGTGTGTATGCTCAACTTCTTTTGCACCATACATCACCACCCGTGCTCATCGTCAAGGTCATAATTAGTAATAAAATCACCTTGCATCCCCGGCAAGGTAATAATAATAAATTGGACTGATACAGCGTTGCCCCATAGAGCGCGGAGCCTTTGACCTCGGAGAGCAAAGGAGATCTCGATGGAACGCAGGGGTCAAAGCAAAACATTCGTGAAGGGAGTTGTGGTGCGAGATCATTTTGGGCCGTAAAAGTAAGACGAAGGCCTTTTAATGGCACATCAGACACAGCTCTCTGCATGATGTCCAGACGTTTGGCTCTCAACGTGTTGCGCATTTAATTTTGCAAAGCACGCAATGTCCATTGCACAGGTGGAAGTTGAAAAGGTCACCCTGCATGCAGAGGCGCTTGCTCACGAACACTACTGGCGGAAGGCCCCCCGCTAGTGGAAGGGCTTCCGCTAGCGGGGGGGGCTTCTGGAGCTCTTCCACGCTGGACAGGCATCTTGAAAGAGGCGGGAGCATACCCGCACTTTACCCCACTGCACGCGGACCTGCCGATCGACCGCCCGTGGCAAAGCCATTCATAACTGCTCGGGCTGACGCAGGTGGAGGGTTTCGAAAACGTTTCCCAGTGTCTCAGCTGCGAGCGTGGTGCAATCGAATCGAACAGGAGAACTGCAAGTCCCAGTGCGCTAGGCAGTGCACAACGGCAGCATCCCTACCACCGATCCGTTGCATGCCCAACAAACAGTAAAGAGGTTTTTTTATATATTCACTTTATTTTAATTATAATTTTTCTATCTCCGTGATTTTACCGAAAGAACCGAAGAATAAAGTTTTTGTTTAGAAGCGCATATGAAAAGGTCGCAAAAAACAACTGTCACCTTTATTTTCCAGCGCTGTCGTTGTGTATAAACTATGTAATACATTAGGGTATTGACTTCACCAGACACCGTAATGAAAAATCAGTCAGCAAGCAAGAGCCTGCATGTAACTTTTCATATTTTTCATTGCGAAAAAAAATCACAATTCTCGCCCCAAATATTTAGAGCACTGGGCGACCTAATGACACCACCCCTAGGGCACGCGGTGAACACGTGATGAAGAAGTAGCACGCGGATAAAACAACACGGAAACTCGTACAATCATCCTGTGTTCCATCAACACGTCTCGCATGCAGAACGGACATCGCATTTGCACGCAAATACATCGGCGCCCATTTACCCCCGGCCTCCCAATACACGCAACGTTCCTCGTGGTTTATTTTTTGCTTCCGGTTATTTTCACCGGCGGCGGCTTTTGCCAGACCAGCTCTTTATTTATTATTTTAACACAAACCAATGTCCGCGATCCCCCTCAAAGGCTCACGCCGTGGCGCGTTTGTCACCTGGCTCACCTGGGCACGTGTGCAAATTGGACGCGCGTGTGCTTGTCGCACGCGCGCGTGTACACACGAGCGTGCCTGAGCACGCTCGCGTGTACACACGAGCGTGCCTGAGCATGGTAAGTCTGCAATGCCGCTCCGTCCGGTCTGCGTGGGTCGGGTCAGCGTTCGGAGCAAGAAGAGGGAGGTGGGTGGTTGGGAGGGCGGGCGGGCGGGGGCGGGAACAGCTTATTATCAAAGTTTTTTAGTCTCTCTTGAACGGCGAGGGTCGGCATTCCTTTCGAAGAGACATCACCTCCGATGAGCACGGTTGTCTATGCACGGCGCGAAAGAAGACAAAAGACAAAAATTCCCCGTATAGCCTTAACAAACTGTTGGGGCAAGTGTGGTTAGCGAGGGGGTTGGGTGGCCAGCACCACGCTGGGTCGTCTTTGTCTCCCGAGTGGCGATGTTTACACACTGCACCAGGTACTAATTTGAGGCCGAGTCGACTTAGCGGAGGCCCAGGACCGGTTCAGATAATCGACACTGGTGCCGACCATGAGCGGGACTCAAACTCATGCTCGTGGTGCAGTGTGCTAACCGCTGCACGACCGCTCCCCATGTACGTATGTACATTGAAAGAAGTTCTATTCGGTTCTACCGAATAGAACCAAAGAGTAAGTTCAACGTACAGACACATACACGGATCACCTGATGGCTCCGTCGTCTAGCGACTCCGACCTTCGAGTGCTCAGCCTCAATTTCCACAGTCGCGACCGACGTTGTGAAATCGCCTTAATTGGCCGACCGAGCTCGACAATCGAAGTTGGACAGCCGGAGAGAGAGCATGGGCGCGTCGTCGCCGTGCGACGAGCAGCCCGCGGCCGCGTTGGTGAACCGCGTTTGCTGGACGGTTTAATTAGGCGACAGCCGTGGAAGTTTGGGTCCCCACCGAACGTCCGAGGAGGTGGTGACCTCACTCAAAACGTCTTAGCTGCAACGTTTAAATTCGACGATTCAGAGCCGTGCGCACACAGTTGCTACGCGGAGTGAGGCCATCGCTTAGTTTGTTGTGTTAATCGCTATTGTTGAGTCGAAATGAGCACGTGAAGTGACAATTACAGTCTGTTCGTGAATCTGAGCCAACAAGCGGATTGTGGTTAAAGCCGGTTATGTCACAGGTCAACAAAATGTTACCTACAGTAAAACTTTGGATTGCGAGTAACTTGGTCTGCGAGTGATTTGCAAGACGAGCAAATTTTTACATAAATATTAATTTGATAAACGAGCGAGGTCTTGCAATACGAGTAGCACGTATACGCTTTGTCTGCCGAGCGTCACGTGATCACAACTGATATACGAGTGCTTTGATATACGAGCGCTTCGGATTACAAACACGTTTCCGGAACGAATTATGCTCGCAATCCAAGGTTTCACTGTATTTCAGTCACCATCGCTCCTCTATCGCTCCGGCCATGGTTACAGTTCCCATGAACCTCACCCTATGATTCCTCCGCCGGTGTCTAATCTACATCATCTACACTGTGTTCAACAACCACACCGTGGGTCGAATTGCTTCTCGGTCCGCTTCTTTCCCCCACCCTGTTCAACCTTGGGGCTCTTAGAAAGCCTCGCTCACATCGTGACGGTGCCGTTTTTTGCCGGCCACCTTGGGGGTGTTGGGCCTTTTTGGAGGCCTGTGCTCAGCAGCTGCGTGTTTAGCCGAGAAAGGAAAATCAGCAGGCGCTACGTGAAATTGGCACATCGCACGAGCGTCAGAGATGGCGACGGCTTAGCGGAGGGATGGCGTTGTCACGACTGGGGAGGGCGTGTTGGCCCACGTGCGGTGCGAACGAAGCCCCCGGACGCGCGCACGCACGTACGTGTCGCGGGGGGCGATCGTACCGTCGGCCACGAACTGCTCGGGGACGTGCAGCGTGACGCGCACGGTGAGCGGGCAGGCGAGGTGCACGCCACACACCATGGCCACGGCGCACGTCGTCACGCTCAGCAGGGCCAGCGTCGTCTTGCCAACGGGACTCCGGGGAGAGCCTGAGGTTCGGAGGGGGGAACGGAGGCGGGGGGGGGGGGGGGGGGGGGGTTAGCGGGGAGGAGGAGGATCATGGGAAATACGCGGCAGGGGAGATGGGGAAATTATTACTTCTACTTTTATTCAATTCTGATTTAATTGAGGCTGGCGTACAGATGCCGCGTGCCCACCGGATGCGGCCACCCCCCCCCCCCCCCCCCCCCTTAGGGAGGAGGAGAGGCATTGTAACCTAGAGACCGAATGCATCGCGCCTGCAAGGTGGTCCCTTGACAGCAGGGGTTGTGTAACGCGGTCTGAGAGGGCCTTTCGGCCAGTGGAGGCGGCAGCAATATCCCTCCCCATGCGTGTTTTTGTAACATTGTGATAAAAATGTAGGAACAATGTTCAGCCCCGCAATTGTGCGATCGCCTCCACTAGAGAGAGCTTCGAGAGAGAGGGTACTTTTGGCCTACTCTTCCACGCTGTGTAACCGCATTACATTGCTGAGAGAGCAGAAGCAGCGGTGGGGGGGGGGGGGGGGGGGGGATTTATAAAACTCGCACCGTCATTGTTTCGACTGCCGTGCAAAGCGATCGAATTAAACCGGTGACCTCTGGATTTCCAGCCATTACACTTACGGCAACATACAGCGATCTCATAAATAAAGAAGAAAAAACACCCTAATTGTTCATTTCACAGAACTGAATCATGTCTTGTTACTGCCGCCTCAAGTGCATTTATTTTCAATTGTGATGGTTAATGGTGCAGTGGGCTGTTTCATGCCTGGATCTTCCAAAGCCACAAGTTCCCCCCCACTGGGGACTGAGAATCTTACAGCTAGGCAGCGCAACCACGACCCTCACCATCAACGTCATCATCATCATCATCATTGTGGGGACATTGTCTTATCAACTGCTGGATGGAGGCAACCCCACGCCGTGCCCATCCGCCATGGTCTAAACCCGCTTAACCACCTGACTCCCGCACGTGAAGCGATTTCGTCGCCCCATCTCCGTCCGGGCCCCGAACACCGCCTGCCCATCGGCTATCATCGCCGTCCGGCGATGCGCTCCAACCCAAGCTCATTCACAGCTCAATCGCCAGGCTCCTGCGGCGGCCCAAACGATTCGGTGCCTGGGCATCAACGTGAGCTTAGCGGAAAGGCATGGAGCCGTGGAGCCGCGAGCGACGATGGGGAGGTTTCGCAGTCGTACTCTTTCATGATTTCGCAAAAGTCTCGTGCCGCATGAAGGCGACGCACGCGTTCTCTGAACGCAATATTTGCTCAATGCGCACAATGCACGTGCGGCTATTTTAAGTTGTCACGTGCAACTACACGAAATTCTTACAGAAGGAGGAATGCTCAAAAGTTTATCAGGCTGCCAGCGATCCATTTCGGCTTGCGGAGGCTATTCTCTTAAGACTGAATGATTATTGTTATGAAATAAAGAGACGAAATAATCGTAAGAAACCACGAGTAAGTCAAGAGTATAGAATCACTACAAGAAGCAAGTAGACTATGTTAAGATTCGTCAAAGGGTTCAACATTTCATTGCAGTAGCACGAGTTTCCAATTAAACCACGTAAACAAAAATTAGGCAACACCACGGGCGAATATACGTTAGGAAAGAAGTCATATATAATGATACGGAGGGGCTAAACAAAAGATCGAATTCACACACAAAACTCTGCACGGCAATTCGATCCATGTTGAGTTCCCTCATCGTCACGATCGTCATCAGCCACGATCCATTTCGCCGCTCGCCGCTGCACAGGAAACCGATCCCGTCGCTCCCTCTCTGTGTTCCGTCGCTGCCCCAAGGTACACTCCCTCGTTTGGATACCGTTCCATCGCCGGCCTCGTCCCGTCTGATGCGCTCTGCCAATTGCCCACTTGCTTTATTATAAACAGGCAGTGCAGCCATCTCCGACATACAGCTCCAGGAGAGCCCCTCTTAACGACGGTGATTGGTCCCACGAAACCGGTTGATAAGTGCATTGGTCGTTAAGCGAGCATAGGAAATACACGTCAGAGGCTTAACTCGTTCCAGTAGCATCGAATGTTTCCCTTTTTCACCCCCAAAAAAACGTGCTTTATAGTATTAAAAAATGGATAGTAATACTTAAAGATACTAACAAGATTATAAACGCATGCTATTTAAAGAAACATGGTCAATCAAAACATACAGTCCCAGTTGCTGTACCTACAACAGCACCGTCGTAAATGGGGGGAATGGTCGGTAAGCGAACACATTGGGCTCTAAGGAAGCCCATCGTGAAGTGATTAGTTGTTAACAGGGGTGGTCATTAAGAGGGGTTCTACTCTACACTACTATACACTACACTACTATACACTACACTATACACTACACTACTATACACTACACTATATACACTACACTATACACTACTATACACTACACTGTACACTACACTACTATACACTACACTATACACTGCACATTGGGCTCTAAGGAAGCCCTTCGTGAAGCGATTAGTTGTTAGCAGGGGTGGTCATTAAGAGGAGTTCTACTATACACTACACTACTATACACTACACTACTATACACTACACTACTATACACTATATACTACACTACTATACACTACACTATACACTGCACATTGGGCTCTAAGGAAGCTCTTCGTGAAGCAATTAGTTGTTAACAGGGGTGGTCATTAAGAGGGGTTCTACTCTACACTACTATACACTACACTATATACTACACTACTATACACTACACTATACACTGCACATTGGGCTCTAAGGAAGCCCTTCGTGAAGCGATTAGTTGTTAACAGGGGTGGTCATTAAGAGGGGTTCTACTCTACACTACTATACACTACACACTGCACTACTATACACTACACTGTACACTACACTACTATACACTACACTATACACTGCACATTGGGCTCTAAGGAAGCCCTTCGTGAAGTGATTAGTTGTTAACAGGGGTGGTCATTAAGAGGGGTTCTACTATACACTACACTACTATACACTACACTATACACTACACTACTATACACTACTATACACTACACTGTACACTACACTACTATACACTACACTACACACTGCACATTGGGCTCTAAGGAAGCCCTTCGTGAAGCGATTAGTTGTTAACAGGGGTGGTCATTAAGAGAGGTTCTACTCTACACTACACTATACACTACACTACTATACACTACACTACTACACACTACACTATACACTACACTACTATACACTATACACTACACTATACACTGCACATTGGGCTCTATGGAAGCTCTTCGTTAAGCGATTAGATGTTAACAGGGGTGGTCGTTAAGAGGGGTTTTACTGTACTCTCCCTCACACACTCTCCCCTATCATCCTGATCCACGTATTTGACTTTGTTCGTGTAATTCCACGGATCCACCACCATGTCCTTCTTTGTTTATAATTTCCAGGTTTCGTCAGTTTTTTGTCAGAGTTCATGCTTCTGATCCGTGCTTCGTGGCTGATATATGCACCGATTAAAGTGTTTTCTGTTCACGAGCAATGGTATGTTGCTTTTCAATATCAAAAATTTAAAACCAAGGGTCTTCATAAAGAAAATAAACAAACTATTTCCAAAGAAAGAAACCGCTTCAATGAAATGCAGTACACAGAGCTTCAGAATGTAAATTGAATTACAAAGAAGTTAAAATAACACCGCATTACTTAATGACTACCAAAAGAAATGGCCATATTATAGCATTAAGAGAATGTAGTTAGCTCCACCACTTTACTGCAGTAATAACTCACCGTGCCGAATAACCATGGGAAATAAAGGTTTAATTTAGCTCTCAAATACGCTGTTGAGTTTATTTCGCCTTTGGTGGAAGCTCCGAATACATGCAGCGAAACGTCGGACATCCAGCCGATAAAAACGCACGGCTACAATCGCCCCCCCGCCCCCCCACGCGCAAAATAAACCAGCGCAAACCGCAAAAATATATATTTTAAAAATCGCAGAAAAAACGTTTTCATTCGACGATGAAAAGACAAAACAGCTCATCTCAGACGACACCAGAAACCAAAAAAAATATTGGGGCAACCTCGGCTTTTCCTTCGTCCACGATGCTGCTCAGTATAAAACGCCAGCTGCGTCTCGTCATCCGCATCTGTCCCGGAGTCCTCCCCACCACGTGAAAGACTGGTGCCTCCTTCACGCACGCACGCATTCACACACACACACGCACGCGCGCATGCACAAAAACAAAGACTATGATCCCCTGTAGAGCCAGGCAGACTGTTGGGGCAAGTGCTGTTAGCGAGCACCTATGAAAACGAGCACGGCGTGCGAGGGAGCGATGTGGCCAGGACCATGCTTGGCCATCTTTGACTCCCCGGTACTGATACACAGCCTGCTAGCTCCTCATTCAAGGCTGATTTAACCGCGTGGATGCATTTTTAGACACCGCCTGTCACCTAACTTGATCAATCTCAAATCACCAGGTCTCAAATTGAGGTCGATAAATCATCTCAGGTTGCTGGATCCACAGCACGAGGCACGGACAACTTTGCCACACACCCAAGACAGACAAAGATCCCCCGTATAACCTTAACAGACTGTTGAGGCAAGTGCTGTTAGCGGGCATCTATAAATGCAGGCACGGCACATGAAGGGGTGGGTGGCCAAAATCTTGCCTGGTTGCCTTTGTCACCCCAGTGGTGAATGTTCACACACCGCACCAGGTACTCAATTGAGTCCACCTAGGGGAGGCCCATGACCAGTTCAAATAATCTCAAATGTTGTTGGTCGTGAGCGGGAATTGAACTCGGGTCACCGAGTTCACGTCGCAGTGCGCTAACCACTGTGCCACCGCTCCCCAAAGACAAAGATCCCCCATGTAACCTTAATGACTGTAGGAGCAAGTGCTGTAATCGGGATCCTATGAAGACCGGCTCGGAACACGAGGGGGTGAGTGGCCAGCACCACGCCTGCCGACCTTTGTCTCCCTAATGACGATGCTTACACACCGCACCAGATAATTATTTGAGGCTGAGTCGACCTAGCCGAGGCCCAAGACCGGTTTAGATATTCGTCACCGATGTTGGCCGTGAGTGGGGGAATCAAACTCGGGTCGCCGGGTTCATAGTGCGGTGCGCTAACCGCTACACTGCCGCCCCCGCAACACAGACACACTCGCCCACACACAAAGACACACGGCAAAGGCCTCCTCTTAAAGCTTTGCCACGCAACGGTGTGCAGCGCCTGCTTGCAGGAGGATCGGCGTAATGAGTGGCCACTGTGCAGTCCTCCACCGGGGGACAGGTGCTTCGTTTTTTCATAGCAAAGAGTGCGCTGCACCAGCTACACCAACACAATGCAGTTTTATATACTATTACACTACTACTATATTATACCACTCCTATACTATTTCACAATTCTATTTTTGTATGTTACTACTCTACTTTTCGATTTAAAGGTTTCGTGACTGCAAGGATTCACCTTCTCTGGTTCTTTCGGTAAAGTCACGTAGAATGAGAATAAAATAATAAATTGATAAAAATAACACGATAATATTCTCACAACGTTTCGGCTACAACACAAGCGGCCTTCATCAGGTGAAGGGACGAGACTGTCTGGAGGACAGCGCTGGAGTGAAAAAGCCACACTCAGATCGCGACCTTTAAGCTGTGTGAGAAGAAACAAAGCGCCTTGACAAAGGAATTAGCATAGAATTTAGCATTGAAATGGCTGAGTGATTAGCTTGTGACTGGTCACAGAAATGGCTATGTTAAAGTTAAAGCATACACATCCGCAGAGGCACCCCTTGACAAAGGAATTAGCATAGAATTTAGCATTGAAATAGCTAAGTTAAAGCATACACATCCGCAGAGGCACCCCTTGACAAAGGAATTAGCATAGAATTTAGCATTGAAATAGCTGAGTGATTAGCTTGTAACTGGTCACAGAAATAGCTATGTTAAAGTCAGAGCATATACATTCACAAAGGCACCTAGTACAAATCAAACAGGAGAATTTAGCATTGAAATAACTAGGCGAATTTAGCATTGAAATAACTGAGTGATTAGCTTGTGACTGGTCACAGAAATGGCTATGTTGAAGTCAAGGCCTACACATCTGAGCTATTCACAGTAACTGGGTATACACTACAATATATAATGAATACTATATAGTGAACCAATAAAAAACGAAAATATAAATTACCTCAATGTTATCAATAAACTCTATATATTCTCCAATCAGCTAAGCTACCAACAATAAGTCGTTATATATCACAATGCTATATGGCGAAAAAGAAAAAAAATGGGTGGATTCTTACCCTCAACTTTAGCAACACGAGGCGCTGTTATACTCCATGTTGTAAACCATACCATTAACCGTGGTATGAGAGGTATTAAGAGTCAATGCCAGCGAAAGAGCTGCGGTCTGAAGGTCATCGTAAAATACAATTAATTAAGAACGGAAATGGTTTAAAACATCTTTCCAATGGTTACTAAGCCAGAATCCATCTTCTCGGTTGAAATTGTCTCTGTGCTTGTATATGTGAATGGCCTCATGAACGAATCTCTCATGGTAGCAGGTTGGTTTGCAAAGAACCTCCGTCTTGGAGAAGTCAATGTCATGTGAGCCCACTGAATTATAACAGTGATCTGCCACGCAGAGGAGTTAGTTCTACCGTGTTTCAAGTCTGCTTTATGTTCGCGGATGCGGTCCGAGATATGTCGTTTGGTTTCTCCAATGTAGCTACTACCACAGAGGCACTTTAGTTTGTAAATGCCCGGGTACTGTATGTCTGGAACAGCATCTTTTACAGATGGAACTAGATCACGGATTTTATGTACTGTGTTGAATCGGACCTGGATCTTGTGTTTATTCAGGATTTTGGAGATCTTTTCAGTGACCCCTGCAATGTAGGGTAAGGTGATGGTTTTGAGTGGCTCCACAAGAGGATCCTTCTTCATGACTGGAGTGATGGCTTTGCGGATTGTGTAGTCGGAGTAACCATTAGCCCTGAGAGCCTGGTGTACGTGCTTGAGTTCACTGGTAATGTGTTCCTGGTCGGAAATGCATTGGGCTCTATGGTATAGAGTCTTGATGAGGGAGTTCTTCTGGGATGGATGGTGGTGGGAATCCGGTTTCAAGTAAGCATCTGTATGGGTAGCTTTCCTGTACACAGAGTGGCTCATTGAACCATCATGTCTCCTTTTAATTAAGACATCCAAAAAGGGTAGTTTGCCATCTTTTTCGACCTCCATGATAAATCTGATGGCTGGGTGTATGGAATTGATGTGGTTGCGGAATTGGTCTAGAGCAGGCTGGCCATGTGGCCAGATGACAAAGGTGTCATCCACGTACCTCTTCCATAAGGTCGGGCGTAGAGGGGCAGTCTGGATGGCGTCAGTTTCAAATTTTCCCATGAATACGTTGGCTACAACCAGAGATAGGGGGGAGCCCATTGGGGTGCCCTCAGTTTGTTTGTAGAAAGTTCCATTCCAGGTGAAGTATATGTTGGTTAAGCAATGTCTCACCAGGGGGGGTACATCAGTATGCAGTCCTTGATGAACCAGGTCTTCAATGATAGCGATGGTGTCAGGTACCGGGACTTTGGTGAACAAGGACACCACATCAAAACTGACAAGCAGGTCGTCTGCGGACAGGGAAATGCCTTTGATTGTCGATACCAGGTGAGTAGAATTTAGTACCGCAGAGGTGGTTTTTCCAGTGAAAGGTCGCAGTATATCAGCAAGAAAACGTGCCAGTTTATAGGTGGGGGAGTTGATAGTAGAGACGATGGGACGAAGGGGTGTATCTTCTTTGTGTATCTTTGGAAGGCCATATAATCTTGGTGGTCTGGCAGCAGAGGGTTTCAACGAGAACTGTTTAACAGCATTAATTGATGAGACCAAACAGTTCTCGTTGAAACCCTCTGCTGCCAGACCACCAAGATTATATGGCCTTCCAAAGATACACAAAGAAGATACACCCCTTCGTCCCATCGTCTCTACTATCAACTCCCCCACCTATAAACTGGCACGTTTTCTTGCTGATATACTGCGACCTTTCACTGGAAAAAACACCTCTGCGGTACTAAATTCTACTCACCTGGTATCGACAATCAAAGGCATTTCCCTGTCCCCAGACGACCTGCTTGTCAGTTTTGATGTGGTGTCCTTGTTCACCAAAGTCCCGGTACCTGACACCATCGCTATCATTGAAGACCTGGTTCATCAAGGACTGCATACTGATGTACCCCCCCTGGTGAGACATTGCTTAACCAACATATACTTCACCTGGAATGGAACTTTCTACAAACAAACTGAGGGCACCCCAATGGGCTCCCCCCTATCTCTGGTTGTAGCCAACGTATTCATGGGAAAATTTGAAACTGACGCCATCCAGACTGCCACTCTACACCCGACCTTATGGAAGAGGTACGTGGATGACACCTCTGTCATTTGGCCACATGGCCAGCCTGCTCTAGACCAATTCCGCGACCACATCAATTCCATACACCCAGCCATCAGATTTACCATGGAGGTCGAAAAAGATGGCAAACTACCCTTTTTGGATGTCTTAATTAAAAGGAGACATGATGGTTCAATGAGCCACTCTGTGTACAGGAAAGCTACCCATACAGATGCTTACTTGAAACCGGATTCCCACCACCATCCATCCCAGAAGAACTCCCTCATCAAGACTCTATACCATAGAGCCCAATGCATTTCCGACCAGGAACACATTACCAGTGAACTCAAGCACGTACACCAGGCTCTCAGGGCTAATGGTTACTCCGACTACACAATCCGCAAAGCCATCACTCCAGTCATGAAGAAGGATCCTCTTGTGGAGCCACTCAAAACCATCACCTTACCCTACATTGCAGGGGTCACTAAAAATATCTCCAAAATCCTGAATAAACACAAAATCCAGGTCCGATTCAACACAGTACATAAAATCCGTGATCTAGTTCCATCTGTAAAAAATGCTGTTCCAGACATACAGTACCCAGGCATTTACAAACTAAAGTGCCTCTGTGGTAGTAGCTACATTGGAGAAACCAAACGACATATCTCGGACCGCATCCGTGAACATAAAGCAGACTTGAAACACGGTAGAACTAACTCCTCTGCGTGGCAGATCACTGTTATAATTCAGTGGGCTCACATGACATTGACTTTTCCAAGACAGAGG